TAAGTTATTCCCCTCTAAAGTCTGAAGATATATGCAACATGCCATGTAAAAAGTAACGTTGTCATATGACTATAAAAGCAGAAGTTTGGGGAGTTTGCTGCACTGAAAAATTAAGTCTTGTTTTAATGCAATGCCACAATTTTCCCAGGAGTGCATGACCCTGTAAATTCACCCTAATGTCAGACCATGGAGAGCTGACAAACGGCAAAACATCAAAGACCTACATCTCAGACTCTACGGGCCTCAGTTATCATGTTAATTATTACATTTTACGACTTTTCAAAGTTGCAGTCCTTGCAGTTATTGAGTCAGCCATAAACTCCTCTGCACACCAAAGTATTCTATAGTCAAATGTGAAGCCATCTGTCTGACAGCTGGACTGAAAGTGGATCATGCAACAGGACAGTGATTGCAAACACAAGAGCAAATCAACAACAGAATCATTGAACAAAAAAAGAAAAAGAATCAAGGTGTTGCAATCACAAAGGGCAGACTTCAACCTGATTGAAGTGCTGTGGCATAAACTTAAGAGAGCTGCGCATCAACGAATGCCCGGAGACCTCAATGAACTGAAACAACGTTGCAAAGAAGAGTGGGGGAACATTCCTCGACAGTAATGCAAGAGGCAGATAAAATCATTGAGAAATGTTTTGCATGTTCTGCAGTCCTGTGACTGCAGACAGTCCTCTGAAAGCTTTCTTTTTCATATGACTGTATTCACAATTTAATGACAGATAATGTAATACATTCAGTACCAATGTGCATGAGGATTTACTACAAATGCTCGCTTGTATTTGATATATTTACTGGCATATTTGCAAATAATTATAATTAACATGCATAATTAACTTATAAAGGAATCCTAGGAATTTGTTTTTACAAAACCTTTCAAGTCGTTTCCACTATAACACAATATAAATCATGAAGTTGTGGATTAATAGATAAAAATTTAGTAGTTTTGTGCCATTTTACAACCTTAAATGAGATGAGAAATTGTCAGATTTAGGATGAAGGATAGACAAACACTGTCCTCAGTGGGGTAAACAAATAAAACATGTGCAAAGCAGGTTATACTTATGCAATTTCATAATAACCAGCTACTGTGGTGGTCCTGGAGTTTTGACTCAGTTTTGTGTAATTTCCAGTTGATTCCTATTGTTTGTTAGTATCTTCTGTTTATCTTCTGTTTGTTTCGTGTCTTTAAGATTCTTGGTCTTCATTTTTTGTTACGCTGTATTCTGTTTGGTGTTTTCACTTGTGATTTATCTTGGATTCCTTTCTCCTCCTCCTTTACTTAAGTCTAGCATCCCTCATATTCCCTAATATTGTGTTGTAAGAGTCTTTGTCTCTGTTGTTGTGAGTTGAGGTGTTCCTCTGTAATGTTGCTTTCTGTTTTGATTTGATAGGCATTTGTCTCTTGTTTTAACTTTCCCAGGTCTGTGTGTAGTTTCCCGGATGTCTCCACTTTGCCCCAATTACCCTTTGTCTTTTGTCAGATTTGAGCCAGTTTACCCTTGCGTTGTGTGTTTTGCTGTTGGCCCCGTGCCATTTTGGACCTTTCTGAATTCAACCTCAGTAAAAGTTGATTCTTTTTTGTTACCTCCGCCTGTTTCCAGCAATTGGGTCCAGCTTCCTGCTACACATCATGGCAGCAACATGAACAAAACCTGTATCCACATAAAGTCAGCTTCTTATAAGAAACTTAAAAACCACCAGTTATGTCTAGATTTTTCAGATTCTAGCAAGATTTACGCATTGATAGTTTTAGAAAGTGTGCAGCTATATATTAAAATCCCTACTGCAATTAACACAAATATACCAGGCAGCCGTGATTTTCACACACACCCACATACAAATCTGTAAACACATGCACCAGGAATGGCATCATCATAACTTCCTCCCCACAGTCACTAACCATCAAACCCACTCATCTTTCCCAGTGTCTCCCAAGTCCTGTCTGCATTTCCCATGGAGTTACCCAGCAGCTAAGAACGTCTTCCTATGTCATGACCACACGTCTCTATTTGCAGACTTATCTGCCTCCCACAGTGTCCTCATCAAGATGAGACACACAAACAGCACTGGTGTGGAAAGAGGAAGTTCTGAAGGCAGGGCAACCCAAATGATACAGTGGCTCGGCTGCAGCGCAGAACTGTGGCACTGTGTGAGTGAGGAGACAAACTGTAAAGTGTGAGTCTGTGAAGAGTGCCACGAGGGCGGCAGCTCTTAAAAAAAAAAAAAAAAGCTCCCACTGCATCACTCCAGAGACGAAATGAAAGCTGGAGTTAGCAGGCCTGGAAGAGGAGTTTCTTGGCTTTATTTTTTCATTAGGTTTTGTGTATGGCTTGTTCAAAATGTATGCAACAGGAATGCAGCGGAAAACAGTGTGGTCGTCACAAACACCCAAAATATAGAAAGAAAACCCAAACAGTATATATCATAGTGACACATGTAATACTAGAACATACAAACTGGACTGTGTCAAGACTGTATGTCGTCTTTTCTTACTAAAATGAGAAGCTTTAGAGCTTTTGTCTTATACTGAATAAGAAGGGTGTATGACAAATAAGACAAAAAACACAATCCCGTGAAATTAAAAAAGATTTAAGTTGAAGTCAGTGTTATCAAACAGTGTAAAGTGGCTTGAAGCTTGAGACTACAGCAGTCATCTTAAGGCGCTTCCTAAGTTCATAAGTTGAACTTAACAACACTGGGGAGGAATAGCTCCTCTGTAACAGACAGCAAATTCAAGCAAAACTACTCTGAAGGAGAGGCAGCAATCTGCTGTAACCAGCTTGCAGCTGGGGGGAAAGAAAAGGCAGAAAAGAGGAGAACAACGAGCCCGCTGAATGCATAAACTACAGGAGAGAGCAGGCAAAACTTAATAAAGATCAGTGATGGTATTTAAACTACATGTGCAGTGCACTGTGGGAGGTCGCACGCTGTAAAAAAAACCCTAACAACAACCCAACAAACAAACCAAAAAAATCCAACAGGAACAAAAGAAAAGAAAATGTTCTGGTAATTTTCTGTTACTATGTGCAACTTTCCTTAAATGTTTCCTTAAATGGTAAATGATAACATTCATTGTATAAAACATACAGAGAAATTAAAACTGAAACTACATTTTCTTTCTCTTTTCTCTTTCGTTTATTTATTTTAATTTTAATTGTGATTTTAATTGTGCCTGTTGCAGCAGTGGTTCAGGGTTCACAGCTATACAGTATGTAGGCCATAATAATGATGATGATGATGATGATGATGCGCCTTTCTGATGAGCAACAGACTTACAGTCAAACATGCATATGTATTTTAAACATCATTAGACACACCAGAAATCAGTACAGGGATCTGAGAAAAATTGGCTATGACAGCATGAGGCTGTTTTTACAAACACACTTACCGTATAAAGGAATTTAACTTTCAGTACACAACACTATCGGTGCACAACACACAGTCCTTTAAAAACACCCTGCAGTGCATTTGTTCCTTTTATAATTTTCACAGAGTGAAGGTCTTCCTCAAGTTTTAGCAGTTTGATTATACCTCACTGTCACAACATGTTTAAGAGTGGCTCGTGGCTCTAGGTCAAACTACTCTCAACATGCAGAGGGAAGCTTTTAAGGCTGTTCTGGTGCCTTAAATGTCTGGTAGTCAAGGCTATCTTAAGTTATACGTTGATGCCAACCTGATCCAATCAATGCAAAACCATTCACAAGCATCATCTGTCGAGGTTCTCAGTCTTCCAGTTCAGTCATGTTAAGTCTAAAGTACTCAAATCAAAGGCAACTAAACTTCTTTCAGGTTGTTGAAGATGTTTAGTCTCTTATCTGAAAGGCATCTTCAACTCAGAAAAAGCTTGAAGAAAACATATACAAGAACCTAAAAGGAGTCCAGCTGCCATCAGCTCAAGCGCTTTAAACCATTTATAAACATTCAAATCACAAACCCTTACTCCTTAAAGATTTTGGTAACAATGTTATGCATTTAAAGAAATATTTGATAAAATGATTAAAACAGTTATCGTGGTCTCATAAAAGCCAGTTTAAAACCTTTTGTTTTTCTGTTTTTTTGTTTACACAGTGTTTTATTAAACTAAACCAACAGCTCCTGGTTTTAGCTCCATATTTGGCAAACTGGTTTCAGGATGATATCTTGTTGCTAAACTGTTGCGTTAAAGTCAAAATCCAAATCACAAGTCATCACAAGCAAAATGTTTATCTGTTGTCAGCTTTTTAAGGAGAACTTCTTATTCTCATGTACAGCTCCATATAGTTTCCCTTTTTAATAATTCCTTATTTTTTTCACACTCAGCCTCAGTGCTGCCACCCAGCTTATCCTCTCATCATGTCTTAAACCACTTTAGCAGCTCTCTTTCTTTCTTCTTATTGGCCCCTCCTCATAAACAAAAGCTTTGAACAGCTGCTGCTGTAATCACAGCCAGAGCTGTGTGTCTGCGAGGCCAATATTAGGTATATCGCTCTGTTTTTGTAACATCATACAGAGGCAACACCAAAAAAAGGCTTTTGGCTCACATGGATAACTCAAACGTATGTTGACCTCAACATAAAAAGCATGAAAGGCGCACTTTTTCATAATGATAATATTTATCCAGGACTATTTCATTGGTCAGACTGAACATAAATAATCAAATATCCCAGTAAAATAACATGATGTAAAATGATATCTCACCTAAATATACGCAATATATGATATGTCTACACTTATGTGTTTTTAGCAGTACCCATTAAGATTTAAAAAACTGAATTTCATTGCACAGACAAAAAAGGAGTGCGTAGATCGTTCTCGACGCGTTTAATTGAAGAGCTGAGAATACGAACATCCAGGAAATAGTAATTTTTTTTCTAATCATCGCTACAACTTTTCGTCTACTTTCTCTGTGGCACACGGCGGGGTGGGGGATGGGAGCGAGAGGGGGAGGCGAGAAAGGGGCGTAAACGGGGGGGGGGGAGAAAGGATGGCGTCAGATGGTAGCGGGGCGGGTTTGTGGGAGGGAGAAGGAGAGAGTCCCGAAGAAAGGAGTGAATGAGTGCTTGGAAAGCTGGGCTGCCCCGGGAAACGAAGCAGTGTTTCAAAACTTCTCCGCTTTTCGACTTCGGTAAGTAGAAGAGTTTGTAGCAATGACACAGCTTTTGGCCGGCAGATGTGAATCTCACTGCTGAAAATACCATTAAAGCACAGCTGTAAATCAATCGCTGCTCAGCCTAACGTTCATGTGTCAGCTGATTTCTTTCGTCGGAAAGCTTTTCATTGATTATTCGCAGCTGGAGTTCGCATGCTTCGCTGAGTTGTAATACACAGGCATGTTGCTACTTTAAGACTTCTTGGAGGATTGTGCGTTAAGACCGCATTTATTCACAGAGTGAGCTATCTGCACTTGCAGCTGGCTCCGTGTTCTGATGCAGCATGTGGCAGCGGTTGAAAACGTCAATATTTTAATGGTTTTCACCTCTTTATCTGTATTTCGCACATGTCCGCACAGCAACCCTTTGTCCCCTTCCCTTTCCACCACAACCCCGTGTCCTTGAAGTGCGGTGCAGGGTGGAGGTCCATCTTTGGAAAGCCACCCAGGGAGTAATATTCTCTCTGCCTGACACACTGTTGCACTGTGAGGGGAAGTGGTGCTACATCATAAACCAAACAAATCAAGAAACATCTGCAGTGTTTACTCAAGCTGACATCAAGAACAAACTTTAGCAATAATAATGACAAAAGTGAGTTATGGCTAACTTTCAGTGAGGACTTCTCATTGTGACTCATCCAATGATCAGTACTGCATTTTTTGCACTTACACGTGCAACGTTCAACAAATTCCAGTGACCTTTTAAAAGATTATGTAGTTCTGCCGTAATTTCCTTCAGTGTGGTTGCTCTAACCTGCTCTCTTTTCCTATGAGTGAGTTTTGACAAGCGCAAACTTGTTAGGTGTCATTGAATGGAGCAATGTGCTGATGATAGCCAAGGGAGATGTCTTTTTCTTTGCTTTTTTTTTTTCCGGTGAAAATACAAGCTGTGCTTCTAGTGAATGCAGGAAATATCGTAAGTCATATTTATTTATTGAGGTTTTTATCAGGCTGTGATAAAACTAGTTTTTAACATAAGCATAAGTGATGAGTCAGGGTCACGATTGACAGACTTCTAATTATTGTAGATAAAACCATTATTATATCCAGTTACGCCACACAGTTCTTCACATTGTTGCTGTCCTTTAGATTTTGCTTCCTTCTGGGAGACTCCTGTTGTCTACTGAGTGTGATTGTAAACTGTCCTTCATGCATACTTTGATATGTAAACCTTTAGAGGCAGCCACAGCCGGATACTCAAGTTATTTATGGAACTCTTTTCATAGACTAACATAGTTGTGTTGTGTGGCCTTTTTTGTTTTTACCTCCTTGTAATTATTGTTTTCGTCCGTGTGTTTTGATACATTTCTCATTGCTAACTGAATGTAAATCTCAGAGTGTGAATGCAGTGAGAGGAAATGTCACATACATATACAAACAAGGATTTGAAGGGATTTTAGTATTTAAATCCTTTCCAAATGGATATATTAGTGTTTATAGTAGTTTTATAGAATACAAATCTAATTAACATGCCAAAGCTCTTATGATCTTTTAAGGAAAGGAAAAAATAGAAAAGAAAGGAATAGATTGTGTGTACGTCAATCATCCTTTCAGAAACAAACTGGAGAGCGGGACGGCTGAAGGGGTAGAGCCAGCCCGCGTCATGCATGTCTTTGTGTAAGTGAAATGTGAGGGTCACTTACTGACTTTGTGCATCACAAACTGTGAGGCTACAACAGAGTTTGCATGGGGAGTGAGAGGCCGGGGTGTTGCACAGATTGAATAGGTTAGGGGCCATGGCGACCTGTTTTTGAGAGTGAAGAAGTGCATTCTGGGCCAACGGTGGCATGTCTTGGAGAGGTAGAGTGAGTAAGGGGGGGGGAATGGTGTCGGCATGGCTTTGTGTTGCCTTTGTTGAGTTGAATTCTACCAGATGAAGACTGCTGATTTTTCTTCTGTTTTTTGGCACATCCACACACACACATGCGCACAAATGAGCCTGGCTGATACTTTTCTGTGGGGAAGTCATGTGTTTTTTTTGATGCGATTATAGCCAGGTTGAGTGAGCACAGGCTGGGACCGTTTATGATTGTGCATTTGTGTTTGTTTGTCAGTGAAGTGGGATCTATTGTTATGGCATGATGTTGGAGGGCTTCTCGCTGTTGACTTATTGTTTACATTTTTGGGCCCCTCTATTGTCATCGAAACCTTAGGTCCAGTGGTTGTATATGAAAGTTAGAACTGCTGGCGTTTGTTCATCAGCAGTAATAGTCTTCTGCAGCTTGAAATGTTTTATTGTGTTTAATCTGGGCCTGCAAAATAAATCTAACTCACTCTGGAGCGCTAAACATGCATTTGATGGTGGCCATCACTCAGTGGCAGACGTTATGAGACACAAATTGTGGTAAATGCCTATCCATGGGAAACATTTTCTCCTCCTGCAGCTCTTTCATTCCGCTCTTTATGGAGGGCAGCAAAAGCAGCAGCTCACATGGTTATGGTTAGCAAGAGAGAATTCTTGATGAGAACAGCTCTTGTTTCATAATATCTGGGACAATTGAGCAAGTAAACCAAAGAAATCAAACTTATCTTGCGCTTATTGTCTTTTATGCTTGGTATGCCTTGTGTGACTCACTCTTGGGTGCTCTCTGCTCTCTTGTTGAAGCACACACTGCAGTAAGGTGGATGGTTAATTCCCTGAGGCTATAAGTTTAGGTGTGGCAATCAAAGGACTAGGTAAAACGTATTAATTCTGTTTGCAACATCTCCTCTTATTTTTCATTCTTAATTTTTTGTTTAAACAGCTGACATTTGCGATGGTAAACATGGTCTTGGTTTCACAAGTTTGTTGGAGGTGAAGAGAGCGTGGCGTTGATGTGTTTTTGTTCAGCAGATAAAAATGAGCACTGATAAAAGTTTACAAGTCTACACTGAAGGCCACAAGTGATGATGAGTCTTGATGAAGCACCAAGAAGCTTTTATTAATAATGTACTGGAATTAATTGGAAAATAAAGACATGCGGTTAATATATTTTTTCCGGCGTGGGTGGTGGATGCGTTGCTCCATTCTCACTTGCGTCATATGGAGCTCAGCTGCTTGCATTCTTTTATGGTAGAAGGACACGTTTGATCCCGCCCAACTCTGACTGGCATCAAACTGCTTTAGTATCATATTTATTTTTCATTTTCCTCATTTGTGATGATGCAGACAGAAAGTTTTATCATTTGAGTGTGCTTGCTGTTCACATATTGTATGAGCCCTTGTGTTGCCCTAAAGATAGTGAGTCAGCCTTTTATGAGGCCCTTACTTCCAGAGGAGCAGCGCAGAGCAGAGCTCGACTTAGGGCTTATGGTTTAGGTTATGAAAAATTTGCTACTGGGGGATCTCTATCCAAATTAACGGGGGGGTCATCTGCTATGGGCGGCTGATCTACCAGCTCAAACATGCTTTTCTAAACAGGCTCATCACAGAAAAACAATAGCATTTTCATTGTCTCTCACATCTTCAATGAATGGACTTTGTTTCCCATTTTAATGGCTGTGTCTATCCTCCCTTTACCAAATAATCTGGGTCAGCATGCTTTAGATCTCTTAACCACCCACCTTCAGTCCTCATTCACTTTTCACCCTTCAGAACAGACTACAGTGGCCTGCACTCATTACCTCAGCACCTTGGCATGATACCAGCACTGTTGCTGATATCTCAGACCAATTAACTCCTCAGCGGCTTCCTCTAACGGCTAGCTGACTGACCCACATATGTATCTGCTGCTTTATCTGGGGCTTGGAGTCAAACGGACATTTCGTTTCATTAGTAGAAACTTTACTGGGCATACAAACTGCTTGGACAACAGGTTTCATGTCTAACCTGTGGCCCACATGGCTGGCTGTTGGCCCACAGACTGCATTTTTTGTAAATTCCATGAGAGAAAGTTTGTCTCGTAGCAGCAAGGAGACTGTTCATGTTGGCCTGTTGAATGAAGTATTAGAAGGCTGTGTGTAAGTTGGCTCGGGGCCCTCTCTACATGCTTGTAATGCTGTGCAGCAGGCTTGGTTTGTGTCAGGACAGGAGAGCAGCGTGGGATAAAGCAGGTCGAGATCAGATCCAGAACCACATTACCGCTGAACATCTTTCATCCTGTTGCATATCTACCGTAACATCAAACTCTGCATCAGGGAGGATTCATGAAAGAGTCTCCACGGTCTGTCGGTGTTGGGGATGATGCATATGAGAGCGACTCCACAAGCACAGAGAGAACTGCAGTAACAAAGATCTGCCTGTTTCAAGATATGTATCTATCAAAAGCAACAGGGAAGCAAAGGCCTCTCACCCACAGCGCCTTGATCACCGGGTTATGAATAAGTCATATTTCTGAGTGCCTGATGTGCCGTTAAGTGTAAAATACTCCTCCCCAGTGCTCATATAAACACACAGAAAATCTTGACCTTGCTGAGGAAGTGCTGTTCAAGCGCTTTCCCAGAACAACCACCAAACAAGCGGAAAGTATTCATCAATTTCAGGATGTAGTGACCTTTATGCTCTCTCAACAATACTGCAGTAAGCACTCTTATGCACAGAATGTGCATATATATATACATGCATACATCCACAGACTCAGGCAAATGCCTATCAACAAGTTGGTACTAATAATAATAATAATAATAATAATAATAGTGGATTGCATTTATATAGCAGTTGTATTAGTATTGATCAGCCAAGCTTGGTAACCCCGGAAAGAAATGGGCGTTTTGTAGATGTTTTTTGTTTTTCTTTGACTTTGTCAGACAAATTAATCTGCAAGTAATGAGTTACTTGCATGCTCTCTACAATTTTGAGTTAAATACAAGCATAGATAATACTTCAAAATACTTGGTCCTAATAAAAGTGTAACATTAACTTTTTAAGGCTTAATTCTGACAGCACTCTTTGAGACTAGAGGGCGGAAGACGAGCTGTGAGTGAAGAGGTTTCCTGTAGTAGCTGAGAGAGATCACACGGTGCCTGCTGACTGCCTCGACGAGGTATGTTTTGTAGGCTCCATCTCTGTACAGAGCTGCTAATTTGTGGGCATTGTAGTCTTAACAGAGAGCACCATGCTCAGGCTGGATGGGTTATAATCAGCTGCAAACAGACGGCTCAAACTCCAGAGGAACTAAAAGTGTAGACTGTGCAGCCAAAAACAAAAGCTCATGCAAACAAATGTACGCACATGATTATGTGCGCTTGAAAGAGCCACATTAACACGCATTGATTTTCTCACAATGCACACGCACTTAAAAACACCATTTCTGTATTGTAATGATTTCTATAAATAGAGCTAAAAAGTTGCCTGTGCGGTGAGTGCTGTTGTGTGATATGACTGCCAAATGGTAACGGTGATAACAATAAGAAGCCATTGTGTGTGTGAAGAGGCCTGGAACAATCTCAAGGACTGTAATAGAATAGGGCACTCCCTAAACCATCCTCAAACACATAAACACACTTCAAATACCTGCTTATATTGTTCTCGGTCTTTTCTTTACAGCTACAATTCCCTGAAATTCGGATTCACAGCTCATTCAGACACACTGTGTTTAGATGGGTAGTTTGACAGGTCATCCTCACAATGCATGAGTGAATCTCTAAAACGTTTGCACAGACACTGATGCCTCCTGTTTGCTTCCTGTTTATTTCTGCCATTTCCTTATGGGGCTGAAAACGACCAGTGATGTTGGCGGATCTTCTTCATCTCTACTCAGCCCAGTTGTAATTGAAATGCACTCCCTCTGTTTAACCTCCCTCTGGGTAATTATTTGTAGACAGTGTACTTTAGCTGGAATTTTGTGTGATCTCTAATTAGTGTGTGAGATAGTAGTAAGAGAATAAAGTTCAAGTGTCCTGAAACACTAAAATTCTGCTCAAGCACAAGCAGACTAGATGAGATTTAACTAGGAATCTTTAAGACGGCTTCACCGTCCAAGTAAAATCAAAGCAGACTTGTGCACAAACTACAAACACATCCTGCCATGACTTTCAAACACAACAGGGGACTGCAGACATGACTGAATCCCCCTGAACTGAATCACGGCTTAACCGTTCCAAATCTCATACCTGCTACTCAAATGTCGTCATGCTTCGACTTTGTTGTTATGATCTGGTTAATCCTGACTTCACGTGATTCGGTGTAGGGGTAACAGATAATACTTGGTCTGGAAATTCCTGAAGTGTTTTGCCTTGAAATGACTTGGATCGTGACAGATGTGGTGTAATGATTTATCGCCTTTAATTGAGGCTGGATGGTTGATTATGTGATTCCTGGTGCTGTACTTGGAGTATTCCTGGCAGGTCACCAGAGTGACTTATAGCTCTTAATTAATTTTTTTTGTGCTGAACTTTTCATCACTGGCAAAATGACACATTCAGCAAGAATTAGAGCAATAACATTGACTCCTATTAGTTAAACAAGCCTCTCCTCCCTTCTATGTGAAAGTTATGGCTCTATAAAGTGCTTGACTAATGGTTTCTCATAACTGATACAGACGGGAGAACCCCTTCTGTCTTAACTCCAGTGGTGCCAAGCTGTGCCAAAAATATTCGTTTGGTTTTATGGTTCCAGATTTTGAGATCTCTGAAATATCTCCCACTCCCTTTGTACAAAAGACATGAATTTTTTTTTAGTTCTTTGCTTTTGCAGAACTAAAAAATGAATGAAGGTTTAGTTAGTTTAGTTTATTTTTTACAAAATCTTTAAATATTGTCTGGGGGAATGCACAGACACAGGTTTCCCTTGGATCTACCAGTGAGATCTGCCAAGATAGTGAAGATAACACATCCTGCATATTTTTCTGTATGTATCATGCAGCTGGTTCATGACATCAGAGGGTTTCCAAGAAACTTCATTGCTCCCCTAAGACCAAGGATGCGTCGAGGCCAATCTGGTCACAGCAAGTAAATCATAATGCAGCAACAGTGCCATTGATTGTTGGGACTTCTGCCCATTGCACTAATACAGATTTTATTTCTGTTGAATAAAGAACAAAGAAATGCATTTTGCTTTGCTAAGCTTAATGAAAGCCAGTAACTAATGCTGATGTACATTCATTTATTCAGGCTGTAATTTAAGCAGTGAACTGAAGGATCCCATTGATGTTGTGTCTGCCTGTGACAGCGGCGAGGATATGGCACATTATATTGTGTGATCCTATCAGTGGTTCCATAGTGTAGTGGTTTACACATTTCCCAAGTGAAAGATTAATGGTTTGATTCCAGGAGGAGACACAAATTCCTCGGGGGTTGCATCAGGAAAGGCATCTGGCCAAAAAAAAAATCTACCAAATCAAAAATGTGGAGCCACCCACTTTAGTGAATACTGAAAGTGGCTTTTGTTTGATTCTGTCACATGTGGCATGCTGTAACAGAGTTTTGTACTGCTCTGCGCTAACAACTGCTTAGTGGCAAAACACACAGTTTCTATCCCATTGCAGATAAAATCAACCAGCCAGATGTCTACCATGAGTAAAACGAGGACAGAATAAACTCTGCATTGTGATTCATCATGACTGTTCTAGCACACACTGGGAAGTTTGCCTTATTACACACTCATAACAAGCTGTTTGTGACTTTAAAGTAGCGCTTTGGGAGTAGGTTTTTGGTAAGGATGAATGTTTGATGACAGAGGGTACAAATTGGACACTGTTTGTCATCTGGAAAGCCTAAGGAGGAGCGTGATGATTCATAGTTGCTGGAGAATCATTTGTAGATGTTTCTTACACCCTGTCCTTGTTGTGTTGCTGACTTCAGTGTGTCTCTGTTCATTTAGGCTTGCTGTTCAGGCGGTATCATGACTAAAGGAAGCTGATTTGGTGCGCTGTTGCCATTTGGGATGTCTGAAGCCAAACATTACCTCAAAGAGGAAGAAGGCAAAGAAGAGGTGAGAGAAGGGACAACATCTGCTCTGAGAGGATAAGATCAGCAGCCCATCTGGATCTGCGCAGGGAACCTAACAGACCTTTCTCTTTCTAAGGAAGGGAACTGAAACTCTCCAATAGCTTAAAGGGCTTCAAGAATTTTTATTAAGTTTTTCATCATTGTTTTTTACCTTCTCTGAGCTAAAGCCATGTGCCATGTTATTGTAACATGCCGTTCCATGCTGTGGACCCTACTCAGCATTGTAGTGGCCTTTGCTGAGCTCATTGCATTCATGAGCCCGGATTGGTTGCTGGGATCGCCTCGGAATGACACCAGCGGGACCAGGGCAGGAGTGGACTCAGAGTACCGGCCATCTCTCGGCCTTTACAACCGCTGCCTTCGTATTGGGACCTCGCAGGTGAACTGTGGGCCCTATGCCACGACATTTGGAGAAGTGGCCAGCGGCTTCTGGCAGGCTGCCATGTTGTTTCTGGCAGCGGGGACATTAGTGCTTGGGTGTGTGGCCTTTATCTCCATCTTCAGCCTGTGTTTTCAGAGCATCCTGAAGAAGAGCATATTCAACATCTGCGGACTGCTTCAGGCTGTTGCAGGTAAATTGTTAATCTGTATGTATGTGTTAAGTATCTTTGTTACAGAAAGTAATCATGTGCCCCCTCCCACCTTCATATATATGTAAACTATGCTCTGAGGACAGCTTCCACTAAATTGAAATGTTTTTTATTTTATGACATAAATAAATTATAGTATGAAAGGGCATATATAATAAAGTTGCTGGAGTAAAACCAGTTACCAGTCAGATTAAGGGGTCACCCCAGAGTATACTAGTATGTAGTCTACTGTTTACAAAATATCAATGAAAACTGATTTCAGAAATTACATATCTAAGTTTTTTT